ATATATTTTCATACCTGATAGCAAAGTACAATTGCATATAAAAGATTAAAAATTTTAAAGTGTTTTGTCATCAATGGAAGTAATTGTCTTATGTTTCTATCCTTAAATATATAATTTTGGGTAAAAATTTTGTTATATATATGATAAAAGTAATGAGAATAAATTTACTAAATAAAATTTATAAAAATTAAATAAATCAAAAATTTAAAAATATTAAATTCACAATAATTATCTCCACATTCTACATAAACATTTTCTTCTACTGAACAAAAAGATGGTATGTTTTTAATTATTACTTTATTGTTATTACCATAATTCAAAATGACTTTTTTGATATTTTGATACCAATTAACTTCTCCATTTGAAAAGAGTAAAGAATATTGTTAGCTTTTTAGGTGAGATGATGATCCAAGAGGGGGGTAAATTGGATTTCTTCAAATTCTTTCTCAAAGCTAGATTTTAATATAATTGAATGAAAATTAAAACCAACATCAAAATATGATACAAATAATAATAAACTGATGAACTGGAATCAAATATAAATTATAATTAAAACAAATAGATAGGGATAAGAAATCAAACATAAGGATTTATAAATGTTCGATCCTTTTTTACAAGGAACTTATGTCCTTTCTCTTGGTTATTTATACCAAGGCTTCAATATTCTAATCTTGAATTGAGAATACAACCCTAACATTTTCTTTCTAAGGCTTAAGATAGAAACCTCACAATGAAGATGATACTTTACCTCTTGTTTATAAGATAACCTAAATGATTTTTGCAAACTAATACACTTTTCAAGGTTGAGTGTTTGCCTAATGAAGTATAAAAAAAAAAATGATGAATGAAATACAACTATATTTTGGATACAAGAAATACAAAGGATATTGAATTTAAGTTCTAAAACTTTTAATTTCTTTGAGAGAATGAAAACATGAATTGTTTGATATTACTCTCTTGATTCATCAATTTTTTTGGTGTGTTAGAATACTCAATTTATAGAAGAAGTGAAGAACTAGCCATTGGGGGTGGTCTGGAGTTGAAAAAAACCATCAAAGATTGAAAAACTAGCCGTTGTAACTTTTTGGGCATAGGGGATCTATTGATTTTGATAGAGGATCAATCTGTGCGTTACCCGATCGATCCCTTTTGGTGTTTTTCAAAACTATTTTGTTTCTATAAAAAAAATCAATTAATCCATTACAAGAGAAGATCAATTTGTTTGGCTAGGGATTGATCTTGTAACCTAGGGTATCAATTTGGTCAAGCTGGGCGATTATCTCTTATTTTACACTCTACTCACTAATTTGATCATATCTTAAGTTGTATAATTCCAAATTAAAATCATTTGAAGATTTAGAAAACTAGACTTAAAGAGGTTTCTATCTATATAAAATTTATCACCTAATTCATTATATACAAATTATAGTGAATTTTCAAAACTACTCATTGTATAGTTTTTAGAAAACTACAAAGTGTCTAGTAAAAATTTAAAATCTTTTTTAAATTGGATTTTGATTTTGTTTGATTCATTAGAAAGTAGACTCAAAGAACTTTTCAACCATATAAAATTCAAATATTAAAACTTTATGAATTAATACAGAAAAATAAAAACAAGTTCAATGTTAGAAAACTTTGTTATTGTAAAACAACTTTCTTACGTCAATCTATTCTCAAAGCCAATATTATCAAAATTGTATTGAGTCCAAAATGAATAAATTTATTTTAAAAACAACAATTGAATTTTCATTTAAACTCAAATAAATAATGTTTAAAGATAGTTTTGATTTTAGAAATAATAAAACATAAAGAAAGGTTTGTTTAAACTTTGAAAATCATATTGCTTATTTAGTACCAAAATAATAAAACTTAAGAACATATACTAAATAAATCTTTTTCAAAATCTTGATTAAGCTTATTTAGCTTAATGTTTTGTTATTTTAAAATAAAGATCAATTCAAGACTAACATATATTGTAAGTGGTTATAACAACTCAAATAATGTTTAACTATATACTGTCTTCTTAAATTGGTATAAATTATAATATCTTTCAAATGAAATATTTGAATTATTTTCCTCAACCCATATAACAACAACTTGATCAATAAATGAATAATTATAAACTTATTGATTTAGATTAATATTTATGCAATATGAATTTCAAAATCCTCAAAAGAAGATTTATCCTTTAATCTTTGTAAGATTTGGACATAAGAATTTTCTTCTTTAATTATTTTAGTATCTCCATATTTTTGCACTTAAATTTTCATTATATTATATTCTCATTCTATTTTGAAATGTTATATTGGTATCATAAAAATATAGCTAAAATGACATGGATTAATTAATTCAAACTTAAAACAATTCAAAACTTAAATTGAGTATACATAAAATTTTTATTTATTTTAAATTTAAATTTAATTAAAAATAATACAATACACATAATCATAAAAATGAACTAACTTGACTTTATTTCAATTGATTTAAAAAGTCAACAACTTAGTAGTTATTTAAAACTGAAAATGATTAAACATAACCAAAATCCAAATTGAAATAGTAACTGAATCAAAATTTAATATTTCTTATTCATCTTCTGTAACAATTTAAAATTTCTTTTTTTAAGCATATTTTCTCTTAATTTTCAATGTTTGATTTTTATTGTCTTTATGGTTGAATTAATTAATTATTTTAAAAGTATTTCTCAAATGAAATTACAATTATAAGTAATTAAGTATACTTTTTTATTTGGATTTAGATTTAAATTCAGCATTTTAAATAAAGAGAAATATGCATAAATTATTGAGTCAAATTTGTTCAATTGTATAAGTAAATAATTGAGTACACTATAAATAAAATTAGATGATAAAACTTGACTCAACCTAATTGATTACTAATCGTAAGTTTGAAATCCAACTTGAAATTATAAGAAATAAAATTTAAAATAATTGAAATACTAAATATACAATTAAATAAAGATTTATCAAATGAATTTTACTGATAAATGCCTTTAAATTACTTTTAAATATAGTTAAATTATAATTTATAATAATATTTTTATATTAAATGTAATAGTGAAAATTAATTTGATTAATTTCAATTCTATTGAACAAATATTACCTAATATGGTAACCTTAAAATTTTGATACACCAATAAATATTTTTCAACTGACATAAAAGAGAAAATGAAGGAGTATGCAATGTTTTTTCAATTAAAAAAGTTTCATATTAATTCTAAAGAAATTTGAAACCAATATATTTGTCATTGAAAATCATATAACACTAACCTTTTTTATTATATGGAAAAAATGGAGTTATACATAATCAATCAATTTTTCATCTCATTTTTCTACTTAGGATAATTTTATATTGATGCTTCCATCAATTGAATGTAATTGTACATTCTATCAATTGAACGTTTAATTTTTCTTTTATTTAAAAAATTTTATTATACATAAATTTTTATTATAAAAATATTAAAATAAATAATTTTAAAAATATAAAATAAAATAAATTCCTAATCTTGGTACTTGTCATGTTTTATTAAGAAAATTTCAATTCCAATAGTAACAAACTTATTATGTAATACCTATACAATTTATATTGGTTTCATTTTCAACATTAACAAATAAATTTTGATAAATGAATGAAATTTTGACATAGACATATTCAAAAGATAGTTCCAATAAATTTTGTCACACCTTAAAAGAATTCACCAAAACAATTAATTTTACTTCACTTGATAATTTTTTACTTAAAATAATTCACATTAGATAATTCAACCACTCGGAAGATTAAAAAAATGAGCAATATAATCTAATTGAGAATGATTGAATAATCTTGAGATATAAATTAATCATATATAAATATATTAAGATAAAAGTTTAAAGAAAATTAAATCAATTATTATTTCAATTAAAGTGAATAATTCTAATGACAATTTGATGAGACCCAATCTTGAGCTACTGGTAACTTCAACATCTGCTGAATTATCAAATTTTATAAGTGAAAAATCTAATTAAAGTATTCAATGAATCACAAAGTGCTAATTATTGGTGATGAGGGTGCAATCGATTTACATTTGATTTGATATTAGTTTTTGTTAATGAGAATAATAATTATAAATTTTAAAGAAAAAAATACAAAAAATTTATAAAGGTCATACTAAATGTAAGAATAATATGTTAAAAAATTATTTTAAGGGACTATAAAGATTTAATTATATTATCAATGATCAAATGATTGACTCATAAAACATATAAATAATAAAATTATTATCATACATATGTAATTAATATATCAAAAAAAAATTGAAAAGCAAAAAATAGTAAAAAAAATGCTTAAATGCCTTAATTATGATAATTTTTGATGAATTTATTTATTAACATAAACTGTATATACAATTATTTTTACAACAACTAAAAAAACAAACTTCATATAATTGTTTTATTTCTATGCCCGTTAAGTTTTTATATTGTTTTATTTGTATTTTCTTTTAATGTGAAAATCATTATATTTATGAAAAAAGAGTTTAATAATAAAAATAAAATCATTTAAATTAAAATTTATAAAAAATTACTAATGATATTTTAATCAATCTTTTTAAAAATTTTTGAAATTAAAATTTTATTAAGAGTTTAGTCAATCACTTTTAGTACTTTTTAAATCTAATTATAAAAAAATATAATAATAAAAAATTCATTTAAATTAAAATTTATAAAAAAATTTACTAAAGATATTTTAATAAATTACTATTAACACTTAAAATTAAAATTTTAAAATTTAAAATAGTTTAATTTCTCATAAAACTCTATTTTTTTATTTTAGTTTATTTAAACTAAATTGAAATAAATTAATAAAAATTATATATTTAAGAATGAATTTGTTAATTTAAAAATTTATAGGGTCATTTAGATCAATTACTATTAAAAAATTTATAGAGACATTTAAATCGATCATTATTATTAGTTTTGAAATTCACACTTTAATATAAGTGACATATATATATATATATATATGTATATGCATATTTGTCTCACGGCAACAGATTTGGAAGATGTTTGGAGATATGCAATTCTATTAGCTAATTCCACTCCATTGCAATTTTCAACCTGCATTTCAGTGACAGTGGCTGATAATTATATCCGCTGCATTAAATCAAAGGCAAAAGTCAGGATTCCGATGCATGCCGACAAATTCAAACACTAGAATTGGATCTCTGACTCCTACCATTATTATCCCTTGCTTGTTCAGCAGGGTTTTCTTCTAACATCTTGAGCTCTTTTGCGGAGAAATCAGAAATAGGATTGAAGTTGGTATGACAAGGCAGACAGCGTTGACCTTCACAATAATATTGGTTCCTATCTTCAGCTCAATTATTGATGGCAAGAAGCTCCTCCATTAACATGGCCTCATTCTGAATGTAACTCTCATCTTTTGAACCGCTCTGCCTCTGCTTGATGCTCTCTTGTTTGCTAATGGTAGGCTTTGCCACTGAAATCAGTGCGCTGTTGAACTGCTATACTTTTGTTCTTCTCCCAGATCACTGCTAGTGATCCTTCTTCAACAAAGATTTTGACACTCACTTCTAAAGCCTTAACTTTGATCTTGTTCTCGAGGGAGAGAAAAGGGGATTGAACTTTTCCCCCTTGAATAGTTAAAGAAGTAAGCCGATAGATTCAAAGGCAATCTCCTCTGTTCATTTTTTGTCATTTCATTAATTTAAAAACTGCCGCAATCTCTTTAGGATCATAATGCAATAACATTTCTTAACCAAAGTTGGCTACTTCACCGGAATTCTTCATTTTTTTTGAGTTTCCTGTCCCAAACCATCCTTTTTAAGATGCGGTCAAAGGTTGATAGTTCATTAGCAGGATACAACATGTTTCCTTCATTTGCACATTTGTATAAAGATCCTTTTCAATCCATCAAAATTGATGAAAGTTCTTTGCAAATCCATCAATAAATTCATGTCCAAATTCTTAATGCAACTGCAATTCTTAAGGAAAAGCATGAAGTAACACTACTTGATAAATTTTTGAATGAAAAGCTGTCTAATGGTTCTTTAAAAAATTTAATTTTCAGTGATAGAATTGAGCATCATATCCTATGAACAGATCATATATAATTACACAGACGGAAATTTGAAGATTAATCAAACCAACAGATACAACACACATACAGGATATAACTGCTAAAATGAACTTGAAATTATAGAAAGTATCATGAAGCATAATTGCAGCTACAGAGCTAATAAAGCTTAGAAATATATGGACAATCTTTATCAAGTTGCCTTAGCTGTTTTGCCACATCAGTTATCATTGGTCGATCCTCAGGATTTTCTTGGGTGCAATGAAGTGCAATATTTGCAAAAGTTACCAAGTCATCACGATTGATTCCTTCACTTGAAATACTTTGATCCACAATTTCAGTTAACCGATTGTTTTCAACGTAATTCCCCACAAATTCTTTGAAAGTGGCTTCCTCCTCACTGTGATCCGCAGACTTTCTTCTAGTCAAAAGCTCAAGTAAGAGTATGCCAAAACTAAAAACATCCGCTTTTTCATTTATTCTGCATTCAAAAACTTCAGGTGCTATATACCCAAATACCCCAGAGATAGTATCTTTTACTACATGGGATTTGCCCTTTGGAATAGCTATAGAGAGTGAGAAATCAGAAAGCTTAGCAACACAATTTGTATCCATTACTATTGATATAAGTGAAAGACCTTGATGAATAATAGGTCTGGACAAAGCAGTGTGGAGATATGCGACTGCATTAGCGATATCCATTGCGATCTTTATTCTAGACTTCCATGTTAATGACTCAGGCTGCCCCTCGCAAATATCAAACATTAATCTTTTGAGATTTTTATCACCACCAAATTCATAAACAAGCACCGGATTTTGAGTTTCTAAGCAGCATCCAATGAGTTTTAGAACATTCTTGTGAACACTCATTTGTGAGCTAATTACAATATCTGTGATAGCTGTTTCAAGCGATTTGCTATGGCTATTATACCTTTTCACAGAAATTTCGCGGCCGTGCAGAAAACCTTTGTATAGAACAAAATGAACATACCTCGAAATTTCTTGTCCAACATTGTAATCATTTGTTGCTTTGCTCAGCTCCTCAGCAGAGAAAGCACGAATAGGATTACATTTACCATTAGATGAGGCAATAAGCTTTTCTAATAACATGCTTCCATTCTTCAACAATAGTTCCTCATCCTTGGTTTGCTTCTTTATTCCGAAACATGAACCCATCTTCCCTTCCTTGGAGGTACAGACTACAAGCGAAGATCCTAATTAAGAGAGGTTAATAACCTTGGTTGTGATTAACAAAATTGATTATTGTAGAGATTCAAAGAGAGTAAATAAAATTCCAGCAGTCCAAGCCTTTATATATATATATATATATATATATATTCTCAAAACTTATCATAAGTCCATATTTCTGTTTTGGTCGGGTTGCAGAATGTGATTGACAGATTGTGGTTTGGAAAATTGCAGGGAAAATTCGTTTGAGATGAAAACTTTTGACAATTCAGGTGAGGTCCAAACTACAGTTTTAGCAACTCAACTACAATGCCAAATTCAGCCAGATTTTTCAATTTCTTGTTCCAGAAAGTATAATATGTTCTACAGAGAATCCGAAAATGATTCTACCTAGCTACTGATTTGACAAAACTGAAATAACTTGCAGAAATACTTAAAAAAAAAAATTATAGGGCATAAAAGAGGTACCTGCAATTCTTCAAACTATCACCAGACCCAAGGACTCAGAAAGCGAGTTTTGCAAATAGCCGGAAACTAGAGGAAGGGAAATTTGCAGAAGAAGTCATACCAGGCATCAGCAAAAACCCCAATTACAGAATAATTATCTGAGAAGAGTGCAAAGTTTTGGTTGAAGTGGTCAAAGTCGTACGCGGGGAAAGTACCATTTAGAAAAAGAAAAAGAAGGTAGATGAGCTTTTTCATTCATACCACTTTTTGTTTTTTTTTTTTTTTAATTTTTTATTTTTTAAGTTAAATTATTTAATTATCTTTTCTCTTTTACGTAAGTTTTTGAAAAGTAATTTTTGAAAAGTCATAAATTTTTTTAAAATAAATTTTTAAAAAATAATTTGATTTTTTGAAAATATATTTTTGGAAGATAAATAACAAAAATTTAAAAAAATTACAAAAACTTTTTTATAAAATTTTTATTAATTAATATAATAATAAATTATTAAAAATAATAAATTTAAAATTAATAAAAAAGTTGATTTTATTATTTTGATTTTTGTTATAAATTTAAAATTCATATTTTTTAATAAATATTTTTTTGGTATTGATTATTGAAATTTTATAATAGCTCTAATTAAATTGAACTCCTTTAAAAAATCTCTCCATCTACTTAGCTACAATAAGCAATTGGTTGATTTGGTTTGAAAAAATCAATAATCGAATTGATCAATTTTTATTCAATAAATAATCGAATTGATAAAAAATTTTTAAATAATAGATCATAACTGAACCGACCAAAATCGGTTTGGTTCAATCACTTCATTTAAATAACTAAATTTTTCATCATTTTTTTCTTTTATTATTAATAATTATTTAACCATAAATTTAATTTAATAAAATTCAAACTCAAGCATCATTCAAACTAAATTACTAAAGAATTTAATAATTTCAATAATATTTTATAAGAAAAAAATAAAAATACTAATTTCAATTTTTTTATCTTTACTTATTAGAAAGTTAGTTAATTTGGTCTATTTGATTATCAATTTTAAAAATCGAAAACTAATCAAGTTAACCAATTTAACCAATCCAAAAAACTGATTATAATCAAAATCGAACAGACCAAACTAAATCAACTGATTTCACTTGGTTTCGATCGATCTAATCAATTCAAACTAACTTTTGTTCACTCTTATACTTATCATGATTAGTTTCTCCAGTTAGCATATTAGATTTTGACAAAATTATGTAGTATTAAGTAGTATTACTTGTACGACTTTTAGGAGATTTAGCTTTCAGATGTTAATCAGACTTGATAGTTCTTTCATAATTTCTTGTAACATTAAGAGACGAAATGTTTAATTAGGATTTCATAAAATTTTATTATTTTTCTAAGGTTAAAATAGTAAAATTAATTTATTTTTTTTATTAATTTTAAAATTTATGATTTTTCAAAAATAATTTTTTATTACACTAGTTAATAAAAATTTTTAATAAAATTTCCTTTTTTGTAATTTTTTAAAAATTTTTTTCACTATCTCACTTTCTAAAATGGATTTTCGAAAATATATTTCCAAAATGTTATAAAAATCCATTTTTGGGAAGATTTATAATCTTTTGAAAATTTATTTTAAAAAATTTATGACTTTTTGAAAATTTATTTCTAAAAAGACTTATAACTTGTCAAAAATCTATTTCCGAAAACTTGTGTGAAAAAGAAAGGATAGTTAAATAATTTTACATCAAAAAATTAAAAAAAAAAAGATCTAAAGAGAAAAAATAGAGGTGCATTTAGTACCCTTAAAAGAGAAAAAAAATCAGGTAGTTGATTTGGTGAGATGAGTTGTTGATGGATGGGCTAAGTAAATGATTGGGTTGATTTTTGTTGGTTTTGAAAGAAAATAAATGGATTGAGATTTTGTTTGATCCGAATTTGGGTTCATTTGATTATACAAGCTTGTAAGATAGGTTTTATATGAGTTTTTTTAATGGATTAGGCTTTCTTTGGGTTGTTGTATCATTGAAGATTCTTTTTTAGGTTTTTTAACCATTTTCTTTAGGTTTAATTATTATATTGGATAGAATATAATAATATTAATATGATAAATATAATATTATAATAATTTTTCTTTGGCTAAATTACATAAATATACCCTGTGGCTAAACACGATTGGAATTTGTCTCCTTTGGTTTAAAAAGTGGCACTTAACCTCCCTAATATGTGTATTCATGTCATTCTGTTAATATTCTTTGGACGTTGTATGTCATAAAATGATAAGAATACCTTTACCTTTGATAGAATCGATTGAATTGTCAATTTTGAAAATAGAAGCTGCTTTATTAAGAGATGATGGATTGTTGAGAAAAAAATGAACTTTGGTGGGATTGGATTTCACTGTGATTGTATGCATCATAAACAACCGATTGAAGAACATTGACCTAGATAATGATTTTGTCTTATTATTTCCTAATTCCGCCATCGACTCAGATTAAAAAGCTCACAAATCAATAAGAAAATTCAAACTTTTTTCTTTTTTTCTTCGTTTACAAAGAAAAATTCAAGATTTTGACAAATGTGTATGTGTTTTTGTTAGGGTTCTTGTTGTTGTTGATGATAATGATGATTATTGATTGAAGAACATCGACCCAGATGATGATTTGGCCTTGTTATTTCCTTATTTTGCCATCGACCCAGATAAAAAAAGCTCATACATCAATAAAAAAATTCAAACTTTTTTCTTTTTATTCTTTTCTTTTACAAAGAAAAGTTCAAGATTTTGACAAATATGTATGTGTTTTTGTTGGGGTTCTTGTTATTGCTGATGATGATGGTGATTATTGATTGAAGAACATTGACTTAGATGATTGTTACCTTGTTATTTTTTGATTCTGCCATTGACCTAGATTAAAAAAGCTCACAAATTAACAAGAAAATTTAAATTTTTTTCTTTTTTTTTCTTTTACAAAGAAAATTTTAAGATTTTGACAAATAAGTAAGTGCTTTTATTGGCGTTCTTGTTGTTGTTGATGATGATGATGATGATGATTATTGTTGCGTTTTACTTTAAAAAAGAGATAAAGGAAAGTCATTTCCATTGTTCCTTGTTCAAGATGTTTTTATAATTGATTCCACACCATAATAGCATACTTTTCCAACATTTAATCCTTACTTGTTGAAGATTGTGAAGAATTCATGCTTCCACACTAATTTTTTTTGAAAAATTTGAATATGAGAAATAACAAAAAAAGAGAGGAAAGAACTGGGGTTTATTCGATCAGACATTAATGGCATTAATGAAAAATAAAGGAATGACATGAATATACATCTCATGGTGGTTAAGTGTTACTTTTTAAACTTCATGGGGCAAACTCAAATTATATTTAACCACAGGTATATTTATGTAATTTACCATTTTTCCTTTTACTTCTTTTTAAACTTCTCCGCGTGCCTTCTTCTCATTGTTCTTTTTCCATTTTCTTTAAGCTTAATTAGTTTTATTTTGCATATGATAAAAATATTAATATCTAATAGTTTTTCCTTTTACTTCATTCTAGACTTTTCATCTACCTTCTTCTCATTATTTTTTTCTTTTCTTTATTTTATATTATCGATTTCCTTCATATATTTCATTTTTAATTTTAATTTTTTGCTTTAAATTATAAAATTTTTGTGCATGTTAATCTTATTTTGGAACATTGCTTTTTTCTTTTGTTTTCTAAGTTTTTTTTTTTAGATTTTTTAGGTTTGATTTTTTATTTGTTGGTTTAGTCTTAAATGAGAAATTTTAATATTCTTGTTTTTGTATTTGATCAAAAGAACATATATCAATTTGGTTATTATCATTTTCTTTTCACTTTTGTTGAAAAGAAATTATTTAAATAAAGTTTAATTTGATTTTTTTTTATGTATGTTTTGCAACGATTCTTCTTTTTATCTTACCAGTGGAATGTAAGATATTTTTAAAAGTTATTGATTTCAAGTTTTAAGTTAAAGGATTTAATGCTTTTTATTCTTTTTTTTTCCCTTGTAACAATTGTGCTTCAATAGGTTCAATTTCAATCCAACGTACATTTCTCAAGTTATCATTGTTCATGTTTTAGTTATTTTTATATCTTTATTGATATATTTATTTATTTTTATTTTAAAGTATAAGTATTGAATTTTCACATTATGATTACATATAAATTTCAATAGTTTCTTACAGATTTTCATTTTAAAATTGATAAAACTTATGATTTGAGATTTCTTTATTTCGCATATTTTGAGAGTAGTTTTAATGAATAAAGTTTTGTTTTGTTTTTTTTTTTTTTTGTGTTTATCATTACCGCAGGCTTAGGTGTTTTTTTTTTTTAATGAGTTGTTGATGCTATTTTGATTTTGAATTTTTTGGGAGTATTTGTTTTTGCTATGGATTCTGCTAACACAAGAAAGAATAGACTTAGGAGATTAGAATGAATAAGACCAAATAGATTAAGAAGAAATAATCGTTCAATACAGAATAAAAGTTTTGAATTTGATTTCAATAAAAAAGATTCTGTTGGAAGCAATGTTAGTGAAGAACGAATAGTTAACTATCTTAGGCTTCCAAGAAGAAAAGTCCTACCTAAGAAAGAATCCTTAGGCTTCCAAGAAAGAAATCCATTGTTGTTGGCATGGAATCGACTGCTTCACAAATAAAAGCTAAACATATTTTTTTGTACAAAATTGTAGTTGACTGTCAAACTAGAGCAATCGATTGCTACAGTTGGATATGAATGGAACCGATTCCATGCCCTAATGACATTGACTGCTTTTAATCGATAGTCTTTTGAAAAATAGTTAGAGGTTGTAGCAGTCGACTGCAAATAAAGAGGAGTCGGTTGCCTTATACGAGGCTTTAATTTTCTAAAAATTGAAAGTTGACTGCTCTAAAGAGGAGTCACTTGCCTTGCTTTATGTTGCATTCTGGAGATTGAAAATACAAAGTGACAATTGATTGTCTTCTTAGTGGTGTTGACTGATCAACGTGAAAAATTACAAATTCTTGAAATTTTAAAAACAGTTTCTCTTAGAATGAAAAAATTAATTAGTTTAATGAACCAATTCATCCTTAATTACTTAAAAGGACATTTTTCCACAAAAAAAGTGATCTTTAATTGAAATAATATAATCAAAGAGTCATAACTTTAGCATTAAATATTTGTTAATAGATATTGTTAGAAGTTGATTTGATATATTCAAAAGTTTGTTTTTCTTCTTATTTTTTTCCCATTTCTCTCAA